CTTCTCCCTCTGACCCTCCCCCCTCTCATGCTCTCTCTATTTCATTCTCTCTCAAATGAATAAATAAAAATTAAAAAAAAAATCTTTAAAAAAAATTTTTTTTTAAATGATTAAAGTGTGTGTGAAGTTAAAGCACTATTTTAATTGCATCTCTGGGCTTTACTACAGTTAACATTGTATATACGTTCCATTACACACATACACACGCACGCACACACCCTGCCCCCCACCCCTTTTAAGTTGGATCATACTATTTACCAGCTTGGTGTTCCCCCTTCCCACTCTTAATAAATCACATACCTCTTTGGTTTGTCTCAGTTTTGTTCTTATTAGACTATACTTATTTTTGTCATCGTTAGACCTAAATTGTGTAGAAGAAATGAGCTTTATAATGTGGAAGGACCAGAGCATCCTCTTGCCCATTCAGATTTCCAGTCTGTCAGTAGACAGTGAGCTCTAAATTCCTCAGTGGTTGGATGGAAGGCACAGCATAAAATAACTTTGGTGTATTTGGGTAGTTATCCTTTTTTCTTCAAGTGTGCCTTAATAATAGAACTTACATCTGTAGTTCTGTTGTTATAAATTATTTTTTGTGTATTTTCTGTTTTTCATGTTATAGCTTGGACAGCTTTTAGCAGCTACATGCAAAGAACTTCCTGGCCCTAAAGAAAGTAGACGGACTGCTAAAGACCTTTGGGAAGTTGTTGTTCAGATCTGTAGTGTGTCCAGTCAGCACAAACGAGGAAATGATGGCAGAGTCAGTTTAATAAAGCAGAGGGAATCTACATTAGGCATAATGTATCGGTATGTTTCTATCAGTTTATTTCTTGAGTTATTATCTGTACTGTTTGTACTGTTTCAAGAACATTGACCTTTATCTTTGTATATCATAAAGATGAACAGTGTTAGAGTTCTCTGGTGCTGATCTGTGTACTGACGACATGGCCGCCTTTGGAAATATCTTCTGTTTATATGTTATTTTAAGAGATTGTTAATCGTTTAATATCTTCTGGAATTCAGAATCAGCGGTGCCTATGATTGCATTGTACTGAAGGAGTCACGTGATTAAAACAGGAGGTTTTTTTGTTTTGTTTTAAGATTTTATTTATTTGACCGAGGGAGAGAGACAACTAGAGAACGGGACACAGGCAGGGGGAGTGGGAGAGGGAGAAGCAGGCTCCTGGCTACGCAAGGAGCCCAATGCGGGGCTCGATCCCAGGACCCTGGGATCATGACCTGAGCCGAAGGCAGATGCTTAACGACTGAGCCACCCAGGCATCCCCAGAGAAGTTTTATTAGGTTAGTATGATATTAGAACATTATATTCTTTCATACGTGCAGAACTGGAGAGTTAGGAATAAACCATGTATAATTTACTTTTTAATTCTGATAGTAAATGTATATACAAAATTTGTGTTTTTTGTAGGAGCGAACTACTTTCTTTTATCAAAAAATTACGGGTAAGTTTTATTAAAAGTTGATCTAATTATTACTGCTGATTTTCTGAAAAATAGTGTGTTTAAATGCTGATTATTTAAGTGCTCTGTATAATGTGCATCAGTAATCATTCCTGAAGATGGGTTGGTCTGAATGGACAGGTTCATTTTGCATTTACCTTAACATGTTTTAGTGAATAGAACAGGTATTTTTTAAATTTTAAAGACGTCTTCCTGATAGGGCTGAATGTGTGAAGCCTAGCTTTAATTTTTGTTAGGGTTAATATTACATCTATTTACTGGACATAACCTAGATTCCATCCTTTAAATATTATTGTAAGGAATAAAAAGTTAATTTTTTTAGAGATAGCTGGAAGTACTAATTGGAAAGAGATTTATTTGCTCAGTTCCAAGTCGTCTGAGGACTTGAGTGCTGTAAGCCAGTTACCTAAATATGGTAATTTTTCTTTTAAGTTTTATTTACTTGAGAGCGCGCGCCTGAGCAAGCACACGCATGCGCACATGCGCGGGGGGGGAGGGGCAGAGGGAGAGGGAGAAAATCTCAAGCAGACTCCATGCTGAGCGTGGAGCCCGACTCAGGGCTCGATCCCACGACCGTGAGATCGTGACCTGAGCCGGAACCAAGAGTTGGATGCTCAACCGACTGAGCCACCCAAACGCCCCTAAATATTTTGTGTAAATTGTATGCTTGATTTCTTTCATGAGATTAAAAATAAACTAGACCTGTAGTATATGCTCTAAACTAAAGAAGATGGTACATTTCAAAAGTCAAAGAATTTTTTGAGAGAAAATACTTGGTATCCCTGAGGTTGACAGGAATATTAAACATGTATAATATTTAAGGATTCTGTATTTTCTTTCTTATAGGAACCATTGGTTTTGACCATTATTTTGTCACTCTTTGTGAAACTTCACAATGTTCGGGTCAGTATTTCATAATTTCATTTAAAAAAAATCTTTGAAAGAAATTTCCTTTTAAAATCACACTTTAAAAAAAATTTTTTTTTTTCCTTTTAAGGAGGACATTGTGAATGATATTACAGCTGAGCACATTTCTATTTGGCCATCCTCCATCCCCAAGTAAGATGTATTATAGCTTATATTTATTATTTATGTATTTAGAAACCATCCTGATACAGATAACCTTGAATAGTTTGACTAAAAGGCTATAATCTGTTAGGATTCTACAGCCAGGTTTGTTTCTCTTTGCAGTCATTATTTTCCTAAAAAGGTATACCAGCCTTCAGTCCAACAGAAAGATCCCTGAGTGATCTTGATGACTTATCAAGGGGTAGAATTAGAAAATCGAGGCGCCCCCCCCCCAAAAAAAATTGATTTCCTGTTAGGTTTCCAGCATTTTATGTCTTTTACAAGTATCTATTTGAAAAATGACTTTTCTGTTTTTTAAGATTTTCTTTATTTGATAGAGACAGCAAGAGAGGGAACACAAGCAGGGGGAGTGGGAGAGGGAGAAGCAGGCTTCCCGCAGAGCAGGGAGCCCGATGTAGGGCTCGATCCCAGGACC